CAACCCAAGCACCACCACCAGCTGCAACGCAAGCACCACCACCAGCTCAAGCACCACCACCAGCTGCAACCCAAGCACCACCGCCAGCAACGCCACAAGCGCCATCACCGCCAGCAGCGCCACAAGCACCACCACCGCCAGCAGCTCCACAAGCGCCACCACCGCCGCCATGCAAAGGGGATGGCAGGTTTGATCAGAGACTTGGCAGATTTTGACGGAACTCGTGAACTAGGACTTTTGGGCTAGCTGGTGGATCGATGTTGGTCAAGACCTAGTGACAGCCAATCAAGCGGGCACATCCAAACTCGCAAGATGACACGATGTTGGTCCCTTCGCTCATCATCACTTCGGCAAAGGGCAACGACCACCAGGTGGTTTGCTAGGGCTTTCCAACGATTTGCGGAGTTTTTGTTGGTTTGCCAGCGGTGTCAAGTGGTTTGTCCTGTTGACAGAAAGTGGAGAGCTGAAAGTGGTCGTGTCAGCGCTGAAGGCCCTGCCTGGTTAGACCCAGTAAGAAAGAGGTTCATTTGCCCTCAGAAATTCAGAAGACTGTTTGTGACTTACCCCTTGACCTCTTTGAAGGGGCTATGAATGGACACCCTTTCTTTCCGTGGTGCTGGTGTAAAAGAATTGTAATCCACTGGAGTGATACAACGTATTGCTTTCCTGGCTGTGATGGCTTTGACAAGCGATGGCTGTGATGGCGGTTTGGCACAGGAACGACGCCTGCAAGTATAACCCCAGCTGGTCTGGATGTGCCGCTTGACTGAGCTTTTTGAGGCTTTTCAAGTCGGTTTCTGGGACCACGGAACGAGTGGTTTATGGACACCCCTGACTATATGTTCCATCATGTTCCATCCAATAACCATCCCTTCCGTGGTGCTGGTCTTCTTCTTCTTCATACGTCGCTTTTTGTGGGTCCTTGGACTTTCCTGTTCGGGGAGACGTCTGGAGTTCCCACCGGGGTGGGTAGTAGGGCTTCTGGCCGCGTAGCTCGGAAAAGACGTCGACCAGCCATGAGACCTCGAAACCGAAGATGCCGGGTCATCAAGTGCCATTGGTGTTTTTGAAGCGAAGATGCTGGTCCTCAGATTCGATCTTGCTTGCATCTTTCGGAAAGGCATGCTTCGTCGCCACCTGTAACCAAACAAAACGCCTGATGTGAATGAACACCAATGAACACCATCTCCACTGAGCGGTTCAACTCCTTTGGACCTCCTTTCGACCTTCGGCTCCGACCTCGGGTCGTCGCCCGAAGAAGCGGAGTCGGGGGCGGGTGGACTGAGGTCCATTCGCCGGGTTGCAACTGGAATGGTCAGAGTTACTTTGGTGGCTGGTGCGTAGGTGGGCATCGCCCCGTTTTTCGTCGATTTTTCGTCGTGCTTTCGAAGTGGTTTCTTTCTTTTTCGTGGGGGCGCCTGAGGTGAGGTGAGATTCAGACAGGTTTGATGTTGATCAAAGCTATATAATATAGGTGTTATACACAGGCTTACTGTAAATTAATGAGCAACAGGCGAAACTGTTCATGTAAGAGTGCAAACGACCTTACGGGATCTTCTTGCACCACTTCATTTTCGTTTCAAAACCTTGGAGCTTTCAACCCAACGACGAGAGTATGTCGTCGGGTTTCTCCTTGTAGCCTATGAAGCCGGCATGTGCTCATGTGCTTCATCCAGCCGAAAGCGGGTCAATAAGTCGATTCAGGACCGGACCCTCATTGCGATTCCTTCATGCTCACCGTGGTTCCCCGAGCCATGCACCAATGAGGATCCCATGTTTGTGAAGAAGCCATGGCTTGTGTGCGAAAAGAAGAACCCGAGAACTCTGAAGTTGCGATTTCTGTTGTTACAACACTTGAAGCGATCCCGGACCAGGCCCGTTTTGAGATCCGTTCTGCCTCTGTTGCTTCATTCATCTCCTCTTTCTAGCAGAGAGACGAGTGAGGAATGGACGGGTCTAGTGGATCCCGTTTCTCCTTTCTCGCGCCATTCGGGCTCTGTTCGTGCGTGGGATTGGACGTAGGTTTTTGCGTCGTTCGCACCCTGGCAGTCCAAGAATGCCAACTGGGTGACTCTTGACCATAAACTTTAGGTGGCGCCCCATGTCGTTCACGTGGCATTTCATCCTCCTTGTACGTCGAGAGTGACTATACCAGTCCCTGACACGTCCGAGCATGAAGAGTCGAGGCGGAACGTGACACGCCCGAACTCTATCACTGTATGGGGACTGCCATAGGACTGCCGCCCCAGACAGACCCCCAAAACAACCACCCCTAATTTAATGTATGGATTCATATGCCAGTCCCGAGCTGGACTGGAACGAAATCGCCCCTCGCCCCCGTGGACCCGGACGTGGATCCGAACGTGACGTGGCGGAGTTCCGGCGGCCCAGCGACGGACGGCCCGTCCGGGCATCACGTGTGTTTCTAGGTGGGCCACGGTGCGTGTATTTGCCCAGCTACGCGGTGTGTATGGGCGTGAACGCCGGCTGCTATTGGCAAGAGGCCCGACGGGGGAACAGACGCGGTGCGTGGCAGGGCCAACCCAATGGACTCGGCAGGGCGGGAAAGAAAGATCCCTTAGACTTCCAAGACCATTGAACATATTTGACGTGGTGTTTGTAGTGTAAAATCCTTATAGATATCCTTCTAGTTGATTCGGGATTCAGCCTCTGAAATTCATGGCAGGCCAGGAAGCCTAGGAAAACCAGAGCATCTCAGAGCCTTGATCATCACCCGTCCGAGTCCAGCTCCGAACCGACGAAGTGTGGACCGAGGGCGCCGTTCGCGCCGTTCGCCGAGGCCACAGCGCCGCTGAATTGGAAGGAGGGTGAAGAAGAGGCGGCACATGCGGCGCAGGCGCGTGGCCAGCGC